TACTATCTGAAACAATCCAATCCATCCATTCTACGATTTGAAATTCGTCTTTCTTTTCGGAATCTATTGTACTCCAATAAAATGCCTTATGCAAATCCTTTTGCGTTCCTATTCCCCTTGTATAACAATATGTCAAACCAAACTGAGCATGCTTATGACCTTTTAAAGCTGCTGAGTGCTGCAATTGAAAAGCTTTATTAAAATCACTATCGATATAATTGCAAGCCAGTTGATATTGACACAAGTGATTTCCGCTTTGCGAATATTCTTTATATAATTTTAAAGCTTGCACATAATTTTTTCGATAGATCCAATTGGCAATATGTGCCTGACTATAGATATTAGTTGGATCAATCTGAAATGCTTTTTCGTATTGACGAAAACAAAAGTTTGGTTCTGGAGTCTTATAGGTCCATTCACAAAACCAGCCAAGGAAAACAAAGTCATTAGCAGTAACGGCGTTGTGTTTCAGATAGTCGAAAAATGAGTCACCGTTGATTTCACCATGTGTAATCATAGAGTTTAGTATATTTTGGATTTCCGAATCCGAAAAGCCGTTATTTAGTCCTCTTAAAAATACTTCTGATAAATTTTTTTTTAAATCCTCCATTTCTGAACAGATACGAGAGTTGATGCTTACAGTTAAGAGATTTGTCGTTATTTAATGTTAGGAACGTATGAATGCTGTGCAATATTAGATTACCTTATAAGAAATGGTCTTTTGATTCTATTGTATACATGTATAACAACATCAATAGCAAATCTTCACCTTTTCAGGGATGTATTAAAGATTGTGAACACGTATTACGTGTTTATCACGGTTAAAGGTTGATTTTACGGGTTAGAGTGGAGGGCTAGAGTAGATGTAAAATTGCCTCTCCGACGTTTTTAATTAGGGAGTGACAAATATTAGCTAATATTCTGGAGGAGGGGTCCCTATAATAAAATGGATAGTAGCTAATATTTTCACCCCCCTTAGGGAAAGTTCGACTTAGAGAGATTTACTGAAAAAAACTTGACTACTATCACACTGGGAAAGTCACGTTTGAGAAAGGTACACGAAAGTAACTGAGATAAACAAAGAGTCGTGTATAATTCTAAATCCATCTGTCATCAGTTTGGTCACGCGTGTGTCATATAAAGTTAGCAATTAGCATTTCAA